CTATATTTGCCAGCCATTCTGACTCTTCGTCGTCGGAAATATGATTGAAATTGTCCGCCACTTTTTTTTTTTCCTTAACTACAATCCAATTCTTCGCCTGCGCGATGCGAGAAAACCAGTTTAACCGGTATTACAATAGACGAGTACAAATACCGCGTGATATTTGTACTCGTCTATGGCGTTATTCGTACTCGTCTAGGTGTAGTTGGATAATAAACAAAAGAATTTCTACAAGTTCGTCAAGATGTAAATAGCCAAAAAAAGGTCCCGATAACATTCCATTTGCAACATTTACAAGACGTTCTACACAACACTCGAACTCACCTCTCCCGCCATGTCTGACCCCATGTTGAAATTGTTCCGATCCATCATTACGTGTTCGCATAATCCAATCAGAAATGGACTTCTGATTTGAACAATGATCCGCGCCTTTTCAAAACGAATACGGCTATCGGGTTCAATTTTCAAATAATCAATCCATTATTGCATTCTTGAAACGGTTAGCGGGTTCCATGTTCAAATATTCAATTCGTTATTGCGTTCCTGAAACGATTAGCGGGTTCAATATTCAAATAATCAAATCATTAATGTAATCCTGAGGGGTACGCTTCACTCAGTTTGACTGTAACGAGGAATTATAATTCAAGCTGAGGCAATAGAAACAAATTTAATTGAAGAAAAATAGGGTACCGCGAGTAAACAAAATAGCTGCTGTTTGAATCAGTGCACACTGTTCGTTGGCTTCCGATTTTGCTGCTTTTGTTGTCGCGCAGTCTAATAATGCTAGAATCTGAAGTTTTATTGAAAAGTTTTCGTAATGGAAGTAAATGTCACTAATTAAAATTCTACAACTGACCTTTATTTCACTGAAAAACCTCCGGAAAATATCAAAACTGCTTCCAAAGTTGCAAACTTTAAAGAATTTTCTTTACAGATTATCAGATCTTATTCAATCTCGCATCTAATATGAAAAATTATCACAGATTCGCATCGGAAAGCTGTCATTGACATGATAACATGTTTTCAGCGAAATTCTTCCCAAATTAATTTTATAAAGAGAACAGGTTTGACTTACCAACTGGTAACCTTGGAAGAAGAACAATCACAGGCAAAGTTTGCCGTGTCGTATATAAACTTGAAAAGTTTGTAAACCACTCGGCTGCGCCTCGAGGTTTACAAAGTTCTCGTGTTCTCCGAATACTCTACGTGGTTTATCAGCCGGCAAACCGATAGAAAGTGTGGTTTATTGCTTAGGAAAACAACATCTGTCCAAAAATAATCAACTTTGCTCGTGCAGGTACCGTAACTCACTGGATTTAGCAAAGAGATTGAACAATTGACTGGCAAAAACTAAGTTTTAGATGTTAGGTTCTAGCCTGGTCATGTGGATAAAAAATCACGAGCCTTAAAGCTATCGTTTTAATCTACTTCATTGCACAAAATTTACACATTAACTCTTAGATCCTAAAAAATTGTAGGAAGTTTATCAAATAAACATAGTTTATCAGCACAGCAACCTGTGGCCCCGTAAAGAGAATACAGACAATCGGGCGATAGAGCATCAGAAGTTGTAATTATACAGTCCTTGGCCTGACACCTTCAGGACGCAGTCGGAATCTTGTTCAGATTGCTACCGAACGGTTTTGTCACCGGCAAAAGTCTATGATTGTCCACAGAGCAAAACAAGAAATTACCTGAGAAGCTCGTGACGTTAACAAAATAATATCCTTTACAAAGCTTCAGATAAATTAGCATTTTATTTATTCGCTGACGATACAAATCTGCTATTTGCCGAAAGAAACCTTAAATATCTTGAAACAGTGGTGAATATGGAACTAATGAATGTTTATGATTGGCTAGCCTCAAATAAACTCTCTTTAAATGTAAAGAAAACCAATTTTATCATCTTCCATCCCAGCCAGAAGCGACTTAATTACAAAGTAAATCTGAAAATATATGATAATAATAGAAAACATTTCATTGACCTGGAGCGTAAAGACTATGTGAAATATTTAGGTGTACTTATTGACAGTAACCTTACTTGGAAACATCATATCAGTCATATTGCATCAAAAATAAGTAAAGGCATTGGTATAAT